AGTACTTGGGACCCCACAGCGATACAGATACAGACTGCAACAGCAATGGAGAAATGATACTAAACCTATGCGCTGAGCACGACATGATGATTACGATTTTTTTACCAACATAGACAAAGCCAAATCAAGACCTGGTACAAATGGAGTGACCTGAACCATGCTTCACAAATTGATTTCATCCTGATGCACAGAAAACAAAGACATACAGCCAAAGATTCGAGAGCGGTTCCAAACTACATCATCGACACGGACCATAGACCTGTGATACTTACTCTCACAACCCACAACGTAAAGCAAACAAAGAAAAATAGGGGAAAAACCACGACTAACCCAAGAAAATTGGAAGAACCAGACATCAAGAAAGCAGTCGAGGATGACATTACCAAGGAGTACTTTAAACTGTTACCTGAGATCAAGGACATAGAAGACGAATGGCAAATATTCAAAAAATCCCTGTCAGAAATACTAAAAAACTGTTGTGGCACCAAACGAATATGTGGAAACAAAGGCAGAACAACATGCTGGTGGAATGATGAAACCAAAGAAGCAATTAGAATGACAAAGAAGAAATTCAAGAAATGGCAGAAGTCAAAGACCGAAGAAGACTATATAGAATACAGGAAAGCGAGAAGAGAGACCAAAAGAGTCACCAAAACTGCTAAAGAAAATACAGGGAAAATATATGGCGAGAAACTGACCAAAATCTGTAAGGAAAGCCCAAGAGAATTTTTTTTAAAGTGTGAAGAGCATGCGGATAAGGAAAGACCCATACAACCCGACATGCATTATAAATGATAAAGAGGGAAACGTCATTCTCGGCAAACATGCAATCAAGAAAAGATGGGAAAATTACTTCCAAGAACTGCTCAACCCAGACGCTTGCCACGGACATCAAGTAGAGTTCCAACCATCCTATGGAGATCAAACAGATCCACCAATATTTCCCAGTGAAATAGAAAAGGCACTCAAGACCAGCCCCAAGAACAAAGCCCCAGGACCAGATGACATCACAGCGGAAGCCATAAGAGCTTGTGGAAACACCGGTATACTGTGGCTGAGGCGTATTTTCAACAGAGCCTGGAACAAAGAAAATGCCCAGAAGACTGGCAGAAAGCCATAGTGGTACCATTATGGGGAAAAAGGGCAACAAACGCGACTGCACAACATATAGAGGCATCTCATTGTTAAGCCACTCAGGAAAAATGTATGCAAAGATACTAGAGCAGCGCATAAGACCTATTGTAGAGAGAAATCAGAGCAAAGCTCAGTTTGGATTCTGAAAGGGAAGAGGATGCACGGATGCCGTATTCGCATTACGACAGATATGCGAGAAAACAATAAAACACAACAAAGAATCCAACATCGTCTTTATAGACCAAGAGAAGGCTTTTGACAGAGTAAACCATGCAAAACTCTGGAAGACACTCGAAAAGTATGGCGTCAGAGGACAGTTATTAGATAATGTCAGAGCTCTATATACCAATAGCAGAAGCTCAGTAGGAACGAAGGAAGGAAATACAGACTGGTTCAAAGTAAGATCTGGAGTACGACAGGGATGTGTTCTATCTCCCCTCCTGTTTATAATATATATGGACACAATAACGCAAGAAGCAAACCAAAGCCCAGAAAGCCTAAGTGAATTTCTGTTCGCAGACGACCAATGTATAATTCATCATGACCAACAAAGCTTCCAAAATCACACTACCGAACTCAACAACACCTGTGAGAAATCCAACATGAAAACAAGCACATCAAAAACAGAAGTTATGAAAGTGAGCCGAAACCATAGTCCCCGGAACATCCATGTCAATAGTAAACAACTGAAACAGATGAAAGAGTTTAAATGCCTTGGCAGTACTTTTTCTGAAAACGGGTCCATAGACAAAGAAATAGAAATGCGAATTCAAAAAGCCAACGCTGTCACCTACCAGCTCGCACCCCTTCTATCTCATCCAAACATCTCCATGGACACAAAGAGACAGCTTATCACCTCAATATTCATACCAACATTATGTTATCAGTGCCAGACCTGGACCTTAAGCAAAACCCATGAAAGCAAAATCACCGCATGCGAAATGAAATGTCTCCGCAAAACCCTTAACATCACAAGACGAGACAGGCAGAGAAATGAAGAAGTAAGAGCAGCTATCGGCACTGAGTCCTTCCTGCGTTACATAGAAAGACAGGGGATAACATGGTTTGGCCACCTGTTACGCATGTCACCTGACCAGCCAGCCTTGAGAGCCTACAACACCAAGCACTCAGGCTATAAAGGAAGAGGAAGGCCACGCAAAAGGTGGATCGAGGGTGTCAAGGAAACCCTAAGAAAACATAACATCACAACTGAAAGAGCTGCGGAGCTGGCCTACCATAGAAAACTGCATCTCCTCTCGACGCTTAAAGGCAACAGATGATGAAAAAGTAAAAGTAAGTAGTATATAATGTGAAAGACAGTTCTGTCTATTGGAATCCTTTTCCGTGTTAAAGGAACTTTCGCAGATCTTCGAACTGAAGGCATATTTTTACATAGATTGTTTACCCTCTGAAACTTTGTGATTCAGGTACCTTGATCAGCCCAAAAGAATGAATTTTGACACGTGATCATCCACTGGTGTGAGAAAAATAGGTCAAAGTATGTCAAGAAAAATGTACGAAATCATGCCACCCCCCCCCACTTTTCCACCCAAAGTACGCAAGATGCGGGGTCACCGTGGGGGTCACACTGGGGTTAGGGCTATCTTAAAGGAACTGGAAACAGCGGGCTGCGTTGCCATGATGTTTGAAGATAAATGATGTCATGACCTCGAACTTCTGGCAGACATTGTTTTACCTTCTCTTCAGGCTGTTCTCAAAAGAGTTAAGAAGGGGTTGATAGCGTATGAAAACCCAACATAAATTTGAACTGTTATCAATTTGTTCTTTGCTCATTCTTTGAAAACTATATTAAAAGTTTACTTAATATTGAGAAGATTTCATTCTCAATCCGATACCACAACTGTTGAAAAAAATACCGTTCTGAATGTTTTGTTTTGTTTTTTAACTTCAGACAGAAAACCAAAAAGGATGCAGGGAAAAATTGTTTTCAGGGTTTTGCCCCTCTTTGTACAAATCATAAGGACACACCTTCTTCCCATTTTGAGTCAAAAGTAAATATTTTAAGACGAAACTCGGCCATTCGTATTTTACTGCTAATGATTTTATAGAAAGATACTTACCAGAATCCTGACGTTTTTCCTCTTTCTTCTCGCCCACCCCCGACCACCATTTGTAACATATCATTCCTTACCCTCAACTAACCCCACTCTCATCTCTCTAAACCCCGTCTCTTCCCCCCATCCCCCTCCCCCTTTCCGGCCACCTCTTCTTAAACTATTCCTTTCCCTCGACCAACCCATCTGCATCTTTTTAACCCTACCCCCTCCCCCCAATAAAAAACCCGTTGTCTAATACCATCCCACCCCACTCCTACCCAAAACGCAGGTCGCATCAAGCGAGGACTGAAGGCTACCAAGTCAGACGCCCTTCGCCACGTCAGGTCAGTTGGCAGCTCGGTCAGTTCTGTCAGTGACGAGGAGACGGTCAGCACCTCCGGCAGACGACAAAGGAGTCGCTCAGCGGGAGACGCGACCCGGAACCACTCAAGGGAACAGTTTATGTCACGTGGTGTGGAGGCGTGCTCGTTGGGGCCAATGGGTAGGCTCGGCGGCCAGGCAGCTAATCCCTCTTTCTCACATGATGATTTAGACGCCGGAAGCAGACGATCCTTTTCTGGAAGTTGCTCGACAGTGAGCAATGATTTTGAGGGAACTGTGGATGACAAGGGAAATACAAGAAGAAAAGGAAAGCGCACAAAGTTCGGAGTTTTTGACAGGCGAGAGGGGACGAAAAATGAAGAAAAGACTGATGTCCACCTAAAAAATGGTAACGAACAACGTGAGAACTTGACATACAGACAGAGTGGGGGCGAGAGAAGAGACGGATGGACGGATATGTCCACTCAGAATAAATGGCCAAATCAACTGGTGTCTGAATGTCGAAAACTGGGCAAATTCTTGCGGAGCTTGTCCAGTCGATCCAATAGCCAGAGCCTGGACGGCGCAGAGGGTAGGGATGACTCGGATAATGGTCAGGGCGAAAAGCGGGATTCTGAACATGCGGTTTCTTGTGGAACTGACTCTGTGGCGGATGGGAAGAGCATTTCAAGGCAAAGAAAGACAGTAGGAGTCGAGAATCGAAAGGAGTGGACGTCAGCTTTGGCAAAAAGCCCCGACCGAGAATGTGAGATGAGAGGTTCTGAGGAATCGATGCCTCTAAATCCTTGCTTGGATTCTTCTGATCTGTTGACGTCATCCACCCACGCTATGCGGGGCAGCGACTCAAGTGCGTCATCCCCACCCTCAGGGTCCGTACCTTTGCTCGGCTGCTCTTGCCAAACCTCAGACAATAACAACTTTTCCCTCTCACAAGTCGCCACGAGTTATTACAATCTACAGCCCAAGATGGTCGATGGCACCAAGCCGAAGTTTGCCGTTGCCAGTCAAAAATGTAGTACGACTAGCACTTCATTATCCAGAGCTCATCAAAATGAAGAACGGTCTCGGAAGTGTGAGTCATCTCAAGGAAAGTTCAAGAACAATAATGTGTCTGCCTGCAGTGCGGACAAAATCGCCGAACAGGAAATAAAACTGAGTGCGAGAGAAATAGACAAATGTGTAGCGTTTGACTCCAGGCGAGATTTTGAAGATTACGGGAATGTGGTGCAAGCGAAAACCCCCGAATCCCGATTAGTTAAAGAATCAAAAACTTCCGAACTTGAGGGCGGCGGTTTGACAGATATTACGACTATACCGTCGACAGATTCGCAGTTGAGAGCTCCACCACGGGCTGACACCAGAGAAGAGTGGAGCTGTCAGAACAAGAGCACTTCTACCGGTCCCGGCGGCCTCGCCCAACAAGATCTCCTGTCATCCTCCATTAAAACGTCAACAGAACGAAGACGAGACAAGTTTTCAGATGAGGATCGTAAGCGCGAAAATTCATCTCAGGAGGGCCATGGGTTTCTCGATAAACTACAGCCTCTTTTGGGGGGTAATAAACCACCTTCGGATGAAAAACGTGCTCAAGGTAGAAACTGTCGAGTGAACTCAGCAGCTCCCTTTCGCTCTGAACCTGGCCAGCAAAAGATGAACGCTAACTTGAGACTGCTGAGCTCGACTATGTCCGACATGGACGACTCCACAAACGTTCCCCTCCTGTCGGATACCACTGACTGTGTTAAAAATGAGGGTCTTTTTTCTTTGGACGAAAAAAGGGATACTCGTTCCTTTTCGAGACGTTACAATAGTGAAGAAAAAGACGCGTGTGCCCCACCTGTGCTTGGGGTGGAAGATACTCGAGGTGTTCTCTGTGACACAGTGTCAGATCCATCACCGGCGATCACCTTAAAAAGCGAAAACAGAACTGACCAAAACAAACGACCTGTAGAAAATCCACTGCAAAGTGAGGAAGACAATGCGATCAAGGAAACGCCTTTTCCCAGGAATTCGGTTCGTAATCTGCTGTCACGCCTTGCTAACGCTTTCCACCTCCGCCCCTCCTCGGGTTACTCGCACTTCAACAACGATAACACTTCGTCCTCTCCAGTGTCCAGACAGGGCGTATCCGAGGCCAGCGGTAGCGAGAATGACACGTCCATGTCTACTTTGTCAACTCGTAGCGGCCTCGTCTCCTACACTGTTTCTGATTTTAATCGATTGAATAGCGACAACGAATTGCCTGGCCATCCCTCTGATGAGGGGGACAATGGTAAAGTGCAGAGTTGGGGAGAGTGGGAAACCGAAGCTGATCAGGAGAGATCCGGGATCGCAAGGCGTTTCAGCAAGTTCAGCATCTTCAAGGTTAACGTGTCCGATCGTCCGAAGTCAGCGAGTTTTATCGACGATGTGACGGAAGCGACTAAAAAAACCTCGAGCAAGCCCAGCCCAAGCCTTTCTGGAAAGCCGTATACTTTTACGTTAGCGGATCTCAGCCCCGCAGCTGAGGAAAAAGATGGTTTTATTCGGAGCCTGTCCAAAAAGTGGTCTAACCTTGTAGCTCGCACAAACTCGACGAAACCCAAAGAGCAAGAATGCAAGCACTACTCTCCTGTTTCGGTAACATCATCTGGTGACGAAGTGGAGTCGAACGTAACAATTTCTCTCAGCAAAGACCCTTTGTGCGTCCCCGTTGCGAAACAAATCTTGAAAAGACCAACAACCCTGGACTTCAGCAAGAAGAGGACCCGCTGCAAGTGTCGACGATCCGACATTTTGGGATCTGATACGAAGGCGACGACCGCGTCGTCCAAGCCAAAACGGACACAGCAGCTGTCTCTGGAGGATGCTATGACCCTTATCGGAGACGGCGCCCCGGAGGCGAGTGTGGTCAACCGGCTGGACACAGCTGCTCAGGTGGTCTTTGCGGAGATGAAGCGTCTGAGGTTCGCCATCCGCCAGTTCCCCAAGAGCAGCGTGGACAGTGAAGAGGACACGGAGAACGCCACCAGTGGTCTTGACACTGCGGCTTGCAGCCACCAACCTCCAAAGGTAAAAACCTCGGAAAGTGGTGGGCAACAGTCTAACGTATCGACTGCCAGAAGGAGATACGCCGTGACCAGAAGGTACTCGGATTCCGTGACGTCATTGAAAGTCCGGTCCAAACGAGGGCGCGGGCTCCTGCAGCTCCGGAAGGAGATAGAGCAAGGAGGTCTGGATTTGAGCTCAGATCTTCGTATTAAGCACTCTGGCCAGCACACTCGGGGAAAGCCTGTTCTGTTTACTAGTTTGTCCGAAAGTTACGCAGATCCTGGGAACACGGAGTACGAGCCGTCGTTTTCTCTGAAACAACACTCGGACATGAACCCGAGTGAATACGAAATTGCGACCTCGTCAATTGATGCCAACGTCTATATACCTTTATCAGACTCTGGAAACATGGCGATGGACAAAGCGAGAAACTATAACAACTGCGCATCATTTTGCGCTTCAGAAAATCCTGTTAAAACGGACAAAGATAAGCTATCATCAGCTCAACTGAGAACCTCCAGGGCTCCAATCGGTTGTGGTAAAGGGAAAAATGACAGAGACGAAGCAGAACAAAAGATACAGACATACAGAAACACACTCTTATCTACCTCCCCACACACCCCACCTTCCTCGTTGTCAGGCCAGCAGGCGGAAGGCAGAACCACCACAGCGGCGGCGGCCGAGGAAGAAGAAGAGGAGTCCACTCTGTCAGGGGCGTCCCCTGTGTTTGACAGTCCGGGTCAGAAGAACAAGAACAACAGCAACACGGCAGACGCGAGACTCAGTCGTTACTATCATGTGTTCAAGAGAGGCGAGCTGGACCAGCTGATCAACGACCACGTGCCGTCCCTCACGATTGTTGACAGTTTTTACGACCACGCCAATTGGTGCATTATCGCTGAGAAGCAGTGAAAGTCTGTGCCTTTGAGCCTCAGATCCGCCTGAATAGTATTCCACAGAACACATCTTATTATTTGTATATCCTAACGTCAGTTTTATGTTTCCAAAGAAGAATATAGCCGTTTAGCTATCTACTATTGGCAACATTCTGGTACACTTTGGTATAAATTCGGTGCGTATTTATTTGTTGGAACATGGTTGTGTTTACATGAATTTGGGGGGACAAAGGCCAAAATCCATATTCAGTTTCCTGTTTAGAAGCTGTACATTTGTATGACATGTTTACAATATACATTAAAAGAAGACATCAACCAGCGGCCTTTTGTGTCCTTGCTCTACCTGTAATTTATCATTACTGCTTTCCTTACGCTGAATGAAAATTGTTGTGTTGTTGTTTGTTTATTTGTTTTGTTGGGGGAGGGGGGGGGGTAATATGTTTTACGGCGCTCACAACTGCATAAGGTCATATGAGCGCGCGGAGCACATTAAACATTTTCAGTTTAGTAAAAAATTCTGCATTTTGCCTGAGTGGCGGCCGAAGGTTTCTCTTACCGATCTAAGGCCCACCAAGGGATTTTAACGTGTGCAGCTTGCACACGGGACCTCTGAGATTTTTTGCCCTTACCCGAGAAGGCTAGGTGTTAGATCTTACGTATCTTAAAATCATCGGGTGTGGCTGAAAGACAGCAGTAAGTGAGTAAGAAGGAGCCAAAGACTCAAGGAGCAGCAATGGACAGGCTGCAGATAGAGTCGGGACTCCAGAGGCGTATAGGGAAGGGGGGAGGGGGAAAGAAAGTGAAGACGAAAGCCGACGACAGAACATGGATAGAGAGCAGGGAAGGAGGTGAAGGAAAAAATTGTAGAGAAGAAAATGTTCCATCCCTGTCAGGTTTCGAACCCTGGACCTATTGAAGGACAGGCTTACCCCGAGGTTTCTAGACCACGAGAGCCCCCGTTTGAGATAAGGTGCTATTATTGCCACCTTTTTGTTCCATTAATCGGTGTTATTTATTTGTTGATGGTCAGAGCGGTTGTTGTCGTCGTTTTTTTTTGTTTGGTTGGTTCGTTTGGGGTATTTGTGTGTGTGTGTGGGG